TTTTATCCTAATGCAAATCATAATGTAATGCACGCCCTGTCCTGCTTTTTACTGCTATTCTATTAAACTTCGCAATTTGCAGATTATAGAGCTAGATCACTAAATGAAGTAGCTTAGAACCCATTCAATAAAAACTGGAGGTTCTTTCTGAAACACTCTTAAAATAATTTAGGTTAACCTGTCCAGCTCAGTATAAACAATTTTATTTTGAAAAAGCGAAAACTGAACACTTAAATGTCTTCCTATCCTACATTTTTTTTGTACGGTTTTTGGGATCAGAAAACTCTGAGAACTAAGCCGCCGTGTTTTCTATAACTTTTCAATTATAGTGATGAAAAATTTAGAATCTCTCTAGTGTGATAATTTCCCACACATTTACACAAAAATTAGCTTCTACAAAAAGAATGAATTTTTCTACTGTTGAAGTCGTTTTGATTGTCAGTTCAATCAATCTAATGATCAATTTTTGAAAAAGAGTTTTTTCATCAATTTATTAATTTTTCGGACAAATTCAACTCACCAAGAACTCTAGGCCATACTGCACAACTGGCTTTACATGTGTTTCAAACACTTTCACTCAGCCATTGGTATTTTTTCGAAGTTTTTCTGCAGTGTTGAAGCACCATTTAAACTATGCTTACGCACGGATATATAAAAAAAACTTGAGTGTTTGAAATTTTCAATCTTCATTTCTTTATTTAATTTAGTTGTGTATTTTTTTTATTTATGATTCAATTCAAAATGAGCAAGTCTTTAATTAAGATGAGAACTTTAAGTGACTATGAGCAAGCCATTCAGTGACAGAAATTAATCTGCTTTGACTACTTCTGTCATTGTTGCTTTCTGTCTTATTCTTCTGGAATGTCATCACCAACCAAAAACCCAAAACTAGCTTCGACTGGTCAATGTAACAATTACAACAGTTGATAACACACAAGTTTTTCAAGTTGATGGGCAGAAATCAATCAGAAAAAATAGCAGAAAAACAAAGTAGAGTTGCTATATATATATATATATATATATATATATATATATATATATATATATATATATATCCTGCCATTTTTCTGGGTTGATTTCTGCACAGCAATTCGAAAAACTTGTGTGTTACAAATGTGGGTTGGTTTCTTTCAAGTTTCTGTCCATCATTTACCAATAGGGTTGAACTTTGAACTTTACTTGAGCAGGTAGAACCGAAAGTCATTTTTGATTTTGATTATTGTTATCAAACATTTTGTGATTTTTTTTCGAAAGTAGCTGTGTAAATTTTATCAGATTAGTGCCTTAAATAGTAAGGCAAAAAATACAAGGACGCTGCTTGAAATATTATACCATTTTGGCGATCGGGTGCTTTTAAGTAAATTTATTCTAAGGAACAAAAAGCTGGATATTTGACGTACGAAAATATGACACCATACACTAGTTTTTTAAGCTTATTTCCTCAAAATCATAAAAATTTTTAATTTCCTTAAAGAACGCGATCACGGCTATATATTTGACTTTGCTCAAGTTCGATTATTTGCGTTGTTTTTATAGCCCATCTTTGTTTTTTCACTTTTGATTAAACTCCTGATTAAATGAGCTTTCCGTTCAAAATAGAAGGAAAGGCAGTGCAAATTTGGCGCTCATTTTAATTCAATTTGTTCAGCATGTTTTTTTTTCATATTTCCTGACCTTTTATGGTGATAATTTCGTTGAGATTTTGAGCCTATAAAAGTTATATTTGCTTTATTTTGGTTTTTTTCTCTGGCTGATATTTAGACAAACTAATCGCGTGTTAATCTATCCTCTATCTGCTCTCTAAAGCAAATCAATGTTTAATTGATTTTTTTCGTCTTTTTGGCCGCTCATTTTGGTTCATACCATTTGTGGAAAGTCATCGTTCTTGTTATAGACATAGGAACAACTCCAACAGAAAAAATTGATAAAAAAAGAGCACAAGTTGAACTTTGAACAGAAAAAGATCTTTTGCTAGTGCTTTAAAGTGACTTCTATTTTAGGGGATTTCTTTTTTCTTAATTGCCATTAGTCTTCATTTTGTGTCATTATTTTTTGATTTTTATCTTACGCGACTTTGTAGCCGCGGGCTCTAAGTTTATAGCCCTTTGGAATTAGAATTGCGGTTGGTCTTAATGAATAATGAAAATGAGCTTGCCATTTTCATCGACACAAACTTTACTAACAACCTTTTTTACCCTTAAGGGATGAATTAGATTTTCGAGCTTCCATTGTGACTGACTTAAATTCTAGTCTTACCATTCCACTCGTATCTGAATTTTCAGTTCAATTGTTGAGAGGTCAAAGATAGTTTTTATTATAACTTTTTGAAGTCCAACAATAACAAAAAAAAACATTGATACAAAAAAGTTCGTCTTCTCATATTTTTTAAAATCTGATGTCATTTTTTGGTTGAACTTGATTTTTATTTTTCAGAAACAAAAACTTTTTTGGTTCAGAAATTTTTTTTTGGTAGTCAGTTTTTACAAGGCAATCTGTCAACGTAACGAATATTTTTTACCTTTTTGCGAGATATAGGTAGAAACTCCTTGCCTATAGGTAGAAATTCCTATATAAATAATTCCTACCTTCATGGGGGGTCAATCCAACTGTCAGGAATTTTCAATCATCTAATAATGTTGTCCTCTTTTTGCAAAAAGAATATCGTTATAATGAACCTCTACTTTACATCAAATTATTGGATATGAAAGCTCAAGACAAACACTACGATCGGTTATTTTTCTGCCTTTCTCTTCAATATTTCATTTATATAATCTGCTTCTTCACGTCAAACCAACTTCAACTAAAACTGAGATTTTTGACATTCCTTCTTTTTTTGAATACTTAAAAAAAGTTCTTGATTCTCATTTTGAAAATAATTTTACTCCTTATGCAATGTCGAAAAAGATTGATTTTCATCATGTCCAAACAATGCACAACGGGAACAACTTGAAGGATTCAAATATATTTGAGGAAAATTTTACGGTTTATTCGCGACCTTCGCTACATATTAATAGAGAAACATCAAAGATAGTTCGCATTAATTATCCCAAACAAGCATTGATATCTTTCAGCTGGTAGAACTCCAGTGAAAAGTTACAATGAAAAATTTAATCAAAATTTGTTAGAAAAGATAGCCGGTTGCGGTGCAAGTAGCACAGAACTTTCCAACCATAATCTTAAAAAGCACACAAAGAATATTTTTTTCAGATTAGTGTCGTTTTTTTCTGCGTGGTATGATGAAAGATCTCAACAAAAAGCTATAATTCAGGCAATTTCGCTGGTCATAGTAAAATAGGCAAATTGAAAACAACAGTTTTTGTGACAGAACGTTCTTCACATTTTTCCATGTTTTCCGGAACTATCTAAAATTCATCGCGGCAAACTTGATATATAATGACTGAAACTATTTACTAATAGAACTAATCGGTTCTGAAATTGGCAATCTTGGTTGTAAGGCGTTGTTTGATATTTATGGGCAGCGCAAAGACATCTTGGCCAAAAACAACTCAGCCAAATTGAAATTCAGACCATTCAGCCAAAAGTAAACAGACAATTCAGCCAGTTTTATAAAACGCTAGATTCGAAAGAAAAACTTTGAATTGAAGTTATCTCTCGATTTAAAGTCGCCACGATAACCGACTCTAAATATCGTATAGAGTCCTACCCTCTCTTGGCAAGCTCGCTACACGTTCGCGCGACAGCGGCGGTCACAATTTTTGGCTGAATTGTCTGTATACTTTTGGCTGAAGTGTCTGAATTTCTAATTTGTTGAATTAATTTTGGCCGAGTTGTCTAGACGCGACTTTAGGCACCAAAACAGCTTTTCAACAGTCGAGGAGATTACTTTTTTGGAAAATGTAGAATCTAAGCTAGGTCCTCCTTCAATATTTTTTTGTATGAAAAGCAACAAAGGACTTTAATAAAGTTTCAGACAAAATTTGTCATTTTTTTATAAACCACATATATACATATAATTTATTTTTTGAATGTTAACTGTTGCAATTTTTGGGCACCTAATGCTCTTGTCAGGCGAGCTTCAATTAAGCAGCTAAACATTTTTACCTTTTCAATTTCGGATTTGATTTTTGTTTGCTTTTCAGTACATTTTTTGAAATTTAGACAGCTCAAGAAAAAAGCAGGGCTTGTTAAAGTAAAATCACAAAGCGTAGATACTAACCCAATTACTAAAATATGATAAAACGCAATCAAATAACATTTGTTTCCATATATTTAAAACTTTGCATGAAATCAGCGTTGTTTCCAGTTTTTTTTTGCCTAAGAAATTGTATGATGGGCTATTTTTTTCATGAATCAATTTGTAGATCATCATTTGTTGAATTTAGCATCAGATAGTTGTTTTTATCCTACAATAAACCAATTTATTTTGAAAAAGACCAATGGCACAGATAAAAAACACTTGGAATGAACGTCACAGATGAAGTATTTTGAACAATTATATAGAATCTTACAAATTATATTTTTTTCTGATCAAACTTCAATCTGGTAAGTTGGCTGAATTTTGCTAAAGGTGCTATAAATACTTTTACCAGAAAAAGAATTCACAAAAAACTCAAATCATAAAATTGACCTACCTTTTTCTGGACGACTAACTTTTTGAGAAACAAATAGCTGCAACAAACCTTTTCAAACGAACGAATCAATTTTGGGTTGCCTACACTCGTCAAAAAAAGAACTTTTTAAAGCGTAAAAAAAGAAAAAAAAACACTTTTTGTCCTGCTTCTGGTGTTTATATCTAGCAAAATTTAAATAAACAACGTCTGACTCAAATTTGCGCTAATTTATCAGAAAAAAATGGAAAAAATACAAAAACTTACTGATGCTATTTTAGATGTCATATTCTTTCCATTTTAGTCTTTTTGGAGGCTATATTTGGCCTGTTCCATACAAAGATACAAGTATTCTGCTTTTGCTAATAATATTGGTCCAATTTTTTAGTAAAAATTTTTACTCTCATTTGTCCTTATTTCATTTTTTTTCAGTTCATTTGTTTTAGTTGGTATCACTGAAAATACCCTGTTTTCCCTGACATATGCCCTTTTGTCATATCCGTCCAAATTGATATTTCTTTAAGGCCAAAATTCTCTCTAATTTCCATTTCTCCGTGATATGCGTCCATTTTTTTGGCGTCTGAACTGCAGTTTGCCATTTCGGCCGCAGAAACTACTGCTTCAAATCGTGATTTTGAAACAAACAATGGAATTTTCACGTAGCTAATTGCTCATTTTCCCGCCCAAAGGGAAATAATTAGAACCACAGCCAAAAATTAGCAAACATTTTTCGGTTCGGTAGCTAGTTTTGTTAAGAGTCACTGAAATGCCGCACTAAATTACCTAAGCTTGCAAAGATTTGGTTGAGATTATTCGGGTGAAGCTCCTTTTCTCTCAAAGTTAGAGACAAAAGGTTAATTACAATGCAGCAGTTTAAAACTAAATGATTCAAAATCTTGGTGGGCTAAAAAATCATTTGCCAATGTATTTTAATATTTGAAAAGTCAAAAAAAAATTATGAGGTAAATTAAAACTCGCCGTCTGTTTTCTTAATTATTATGGCTCCGTAATTATACCTGAGGTTGATAGGAAAACAAAATTACTGATGTTTTGAGTAGGAAAAAGGAGTGAAATATCAAAAAAAACTCAGAAAGTGGTTGATCTTTCTATAAAGCTAGCAGATTTATAGATGTCAATAAAAATTGGGCGCCGATCATTAAACTTTTTTATTTCAGCAGAGAAAACTATAAAACTTTAATCAATTGATTTGGCTGAACTTCCGTGTTTAGTAGTTTTATTTATGCACCAATTAAACATTTCTTTCATTGTTTTCCTTTTCACTTCAGCGCTGAATTTTCTTCAAACGTTATTTCTTGAATTTCCCAAATTTTACCAAAATTCTCTTTTTAACGATTTGATTGGAGCTCTAATCTTCCTTTATTTTTTTCTATAAATTTCTCAAGTAACTGCTACTTCAAGCGTAGTTTCAACAGTAAAAAGGGACATTTGCCTGTGAATTATTCCTCTTTCATTAATACCCAAAACCGAAATGATATTAAAATACAGCGCCAACTTTCTAATCAATCTCTCATCTGAAAGGAGGTTAGCAGAAATCTAAAGCAGACAGACTCGCTCAAAAATTTCAGCTAAAAGTCCAAAGTGCGTCACAAAATTGAATTTTACTCAGAAAGAAGAGAATTCTCCGCTCATTTTTGTCCACCACAAACCGCTAACAATTGTTTTAGATGATTTAATATTTACAGTTTCCAGACACATCTATTTGACTTCAGCAATAATTATCCTCAACGATTCCAACTTATGAAGTTTTTTTTCATTGGTTCATTCGAATTTGAAATTATTATACATTTACTTGTTTATTTGTTTTCGAAACGAATAATCGAAATTGAATCAGAAACAGAAAAAATAAAGCCGCAAATATGACTATAATTGGGAACAATTCGGGCGAAATTTGGCGCGATTTGCTTCTGTATTCGGAAACCGAATGCCTAGTGATCACATTCGGTTTTGCGGCTTCGGGTGTTCTCGGCTCTATTTTCCACTTGTTCGTATTGTCGGTTTTGCTTTACAAAATGAAGCGAGACGTGGTTCGTTCGGCGTCCGACCAATTCTTCGTGTTTCTTACCGCGACTGACCTCGCCGCATGCTCGCTGCTGTTTCTGTTCGAGTGTCTTCACTTCGGCTCCAAGTCGTGCAACGAAGGCGGGAGCGATTTTTTGTTCGGACTTACAATTTTCCTCGAAGCTTTATCAACTTTAGCTCTTCAAAGCATTGCTATAAATCGTTTTTTTCTAGTTTGGAAATACAACAATGTAGTTTTCAATTACCAAAGAAGTTGCTTATTGAGTAGTTTCAACGTCGCTTTTTCTTCTTTGTTTGTTTTTATTATTCTCAAAATCCAAAATGAACATTACATAATATTGGATCTCTACATGTACTTTATTCTTGGAAACCTTTCGGCTATGGTTCTCATCTACTGTCTCATTTTCGTGAAACTCTGCCAGCGAGTGAATGCACAGAATCAGAGAAACTCACAGCCATCCAGTACATCAGGCCGACAGATAAAAGAGCCGATTGTGAGGCTTTTGGTGCGTCTGTCAGAACACAGACGAGAACGCAACGCAGCCGTAGGCCGAAGTGCCGTGTCTCCGGATACGACCCCGCGGCCGAATTGTGACTCCGCCGTAGCGACTCCAATGGAGCAGATGAGAAACCGGTCGGCTATAATATCGCTGGTTATAACTGCAGTTTATATGGTATGTTTTTTACCTAATGGTATGTTATCTCTGGCCATTTCGATCAACCCCAGCATTCTACAAAGCGATACCCCGAATGAAAACTTCGCATTCTGTGTGAAATACTTTCAGTTTTTCTACAATCTCAATTTCATCATAACTCCAATCATTTACGCAGTAATGAGTCATCAGTTCCGATGTGAGACGAAAAAAATGTGCACCACAATCCGAGCGCAATGGTCTGCTTTGAGGAGTCGCAGCGCGCGCCAAGGGCAAGTTGCCCGCCGTGTTGTTCACAAAAACACGACGACGACAGCCGACACTTGTGCAACTACAGCAGCACTTACGCATGAAGTTTTCCCAGCCCCCAGCCCTGCAAAACCGAGCAACCTGAAAACGGTAGCCGAGAACGAAGTGTAGCAATTTCTCATAAGCTCCAGCTCATTTCTATACGATGATTATATTTAAAACCATTTATGTCTTTGAGTCCTACCCAAAAAAAGCGCATGCTCAAAATTTAACTGTTATATTTTAGATCTTTTCAAACACACACAGAAGCTAGCACCGAATTTTTTGAATATTTCAAGATAAGGCCAAAAATGAAAGTCGTAAATTAGTACCGACGAAAAAATTTGTTAAAAAGAAGTGTCTGACGAACGATTTTATAACGAAATTTATTTTTGCCTGATGCCAAAATCAAACTTTTTCTTTTTCAAAATAAAGTCTTATATTTTTGGTTTTTAGGCAGCATAACATGGCCACAGTAAAAGTTTGTTCAGGGGGATATTACTATTCAGAAATTTGACCCGCTGGCCATCCAAAGAGTTTTTTTGGTACTATGTTACGACAACCATTTTCGGCCAATCGACTTCCACGGATCTCCACGGACTTCCACGGATCTCCACTGACTTCCACGGGATCTCGTCGCCAATGATTACCAAACTTGAGAGGGAAGCGTTCCCCAAAAAACGCGTTTTTGTTTGTCAAAGTTTTCCAAAAACTGCTCAAAAACGGCATTTGTGAAATTTATCCGCGGCGCTGAGCTTTTTTGTCCAATTAAGGTCTCAATAACATTTAAAAAAACATCAGAAAATCAGTTTAGTTGAAGTTAAAGAAAAGTCGGCAAAGTTTCTTTGGTGTTTGTTTGAAATTTACTTCCCTTGAAAAAATTGTAAATCTGCCCAGGGCTGTAAAAATATATTAAATAGTATTTTTTCATAAAAATTAATACGTTTTTTTTTCATCTAAAAAAAATAATTGTATTATATATATTTTTGGTTATTATTTGACCAAAAACATAATTGGAGAATCATTCGTTCATGTCATTGCATTCCAGAGTGATTTATTTCCATACAAAAAAATTGTCTTACGAAGTTAATTGCAAACAAATTACTGTAAGCGTTTAAAGTGAATTAACAAAACATATTTGAAAGAAATTTGCGCCTCTATCGCAACCCAAATTTTATGCCAAGCTTGTACTTTTGCAATAACTGTTCTGATAAGACAAATATTTTTTATTCTTATCTGTCAAAACAAATAATTGTTTTGTATTTATTGCCAATACATTTAAATACAATATTTTTCTTTAGAGCTCTAGATCTGCCTGCATTTCTGCGTTTTTTTGACGTAAAATAAAATTTTCGCATTTATACAATATCTTCTACCCGAGCTTGCCTCAATTCAGTTTGGAACGAAATATTTTGGCTTTTACTCTTTAGTAACTCGAGTTATATCGCGCGCTAAACCTCTCAGATTGGCCAAACTAGCAATTTTCAAACCACCAAAACTTTGCAATATATAATCCAGGTATATATTTTTTAATTTTTACTCAAGACAACAGTACCTTTTAGGTGATATAGAAAAAATCCCGTCAAAAATGGCTTGTTAAAAAATTTAATTTAGTCTGTAAAAAACGTCCCCGACCAAAAACAGGGTGTGGCGGCTTGCATGGGTGCAGCTTCGCATGCGTTATTTAAGTAATTTTTCACATTGATGCGTCACGCATTAGTTTGAGTTTTAGCTATAACTGTATGAATACTAACTGAAATATTTTGCGCTAATAGCCGCATGCTACTAAGAAGGCAGGCCCCGAGCAAAAAATTTAATCACTTTCTTCAAAAATTGGAACTCTAAAGGCTGTGTTAATAGCAATTGTAGAAAGGGCAGAGGAACGTTTGTAAAGGGCTATTTAGACGCCAATGGC